TCTCTCTCTCTGTGAGAGAGACAGACAGAAAGACAGACAGAGAGAAAGCATATCCACTGACATGAAAGATTAAAAATGAAAGTTTAGGTTTAGATCAGTCTGAAATCAAATCTTGAATCTAAATGCTTAATTTTTAAATTTTATTTCTCCTTCTCATCTTCCTCCTCCTTCTTCCCAATAAAAAGGATCAAACCTGGGCCTTTATCAGGACATGGGTGGGTCCTGCCTGTAATCCTAGCACTTTTGAGGCTTGGGAAGCAGAAGCAGGAGGAACATGAATTTGTGGCCAGTCTAGGCTACATAACAAGAGAATCTCAAAAGCAAAAACAGTAGTCAGGGCTGCACCAATGCCAGGCAGATACTCTACCCCAGAGCTGTGTCTCCGTGTCTTACTCCTTATGTGTAACCTTTAACCTACTTCATCTTGATGAGCCTTAGTTTCTGATAGGGATAAAGTAAATACCACTTTATAGAACTGGCTTGAAAGCTAAACATGATCGTTTCTGTAAAGCCCTTAATAGACTGGCACACGGAAAGAGCTTGATCCTTTGAACCCTACTTAGACACGAGGCCCATAGAGACTGGGAACACAGGAACCTACTTTTCGTCTCCTTGGTTTTGCATGGGCTTCTCTTTGTAATGCTCCTAAGGCTACTCCCAGCATACAAATCTGCTCACATCAGCCCCTCTTGTGGAACATTATCAAGCAGTAGATCGTTCCTTTGCCCTCTCTTCCTGAGTCACTGTCACAAGCGCTCCCAAATACAAGAACTCTTCCTATCTTCAAAACTGGATATGAACACACACCTGACCGGCTGAGACCAGAGCGATTACTAAGAGGCATTCTGACCACAAGGTTCAGGTTAAGAAGGGGAAGAAGATCATGGTGGCCACATGAAGGCCAAGAGGCTTTGAGGGAAGGGAGTGTCTGGGAAGACAGCTAAGAAAAGTAAAGAATAATACAGGAAAGAGGTCCCCCAAATAGAGGACCCACATATCTCTGCATGCTCCAAGTCTTGCCTTCACCTGCCCCCTCATTATTATCCACTAAGCCACACACCTTCCCTCTGGCCCTGGGTTGGAGTGTGATGGAAGACATTTACACTGTGCCTCCTGCTCTAAAATTGTCTACTGTCCAACTAGAGAAAAAACAACCCTACCTGGGGTATCTGGGGAGTCAGGGAACCTGCCCTCATTCCCTGAAACCTTCCATGGAATTGAGATAGGCTCTAGACCAGTACTGAAGTGCTGGAAAGGACAGGCCATCGGGAGGCTGGATTGATGTGGCAGTGAGGAGAAGCCTGCATGGGAAATCTCATGAAGAATGCTGGGAAGAGAAAAGCAGTGCAGACCTGACAGAACCGTCAGTGCAACAGCAGGACAAGCAGCCAGTGCAGGAGAGCAATCCCAAGGCCTGCCTTCAAATTTTGGCTTGCGATACTGGACAAGCCAACTCTTCATTTGGGTTTATCATTTGGAAAAACAGGGCCTAGTTTTGAGGTTTGTCCTGAAGCTATAAGGTGGCAAGAAAGGCTACTTTATGCAAATGTATGGGGATGGGTGTGCTGCTGGGAGGGCCACTGTAAGAAAGACCTCTGGAGATGAGAGAAGGGCTTGCTCAGCCATAATAAGGTGGGGTTGGAGGATGGTTGAGCTATCCTCCTCCTTCTAGCGTTCCTTTTGCGGCCTACTAGGGCTAGGAACACCATGAAGAAAGTCAGAGGCACACGGACTGACACCCTCCCTTAGTGGAAACCAGACAGTGAGAGGCAGACAGCTACGATCAGGGAGTGACAGAACATGAGTGGATATACAAATAGACAAGATTAACTATCCCCATTGTATACACAAGAGGCTTTGCTAACACTCGGCCAATTAGAAAACTAATCTAAACAGCCACCGGCTTCCTGGCTCCTCTCAGAGCACTTTGGAACAGCTGTTCGCCTTGCACTTGCTGCTGGCCTAGCAAGTGCCAAGACGTCTTCTTGGGGCTGGGTCCCCACTTAAGCCTCAAGGGCTCCTCAAGAGCCAGGGATTGTGTCACTTCCATCCCTTGCACCCCTTCTCGGACTCTGCCGCTGTTACGTATGCTATTTCTCCCAGGTCTATGGCTGTAAGACGCCTTCTGAGAAGTCCAGGCAGCAGAGCTATTACAGCACTTCCCAGGTTACTTGGCCATCCATCTGGCTGAATCCTTTGATGTCTGACAAGTTGAAGCACAGACAACTCAGCAATAAGATTCCTCTTCATAAAAGAGGATAATTGTGATACATGTACATGACAGGGTTAGAACATGCAAACATGTGTGCATATACATATGTTTATATGTATATATATATATGTATATGCATACAGTCTGTAAGTGATTAATGTATGGCATTTCCCATTATCATTATTACTGTTCATACACTACTATTTAACTGCCATTTATACTGGCTGCCAGTTACTGAAAGCCCAAGGAGCAGGTAGCCTCTTAAGCAGACCTTGATTGTCTCTCTCTGTGTATTTACGCCTTTGTGTCATCCCTCCCCTTGAGTGTGAGTAGTGAGTAGCACCTGCAACTAAACCACTAGCTATGACAAAAACAATGGAGTATGGTGTCCATCATCAGGGAATGTGTAACTCTAACCTCCACCCCTCTGTCTCTCCGTCTTTCTGTCTCTCTCTGTTATTTCTCTCTGTGTCTCTCTCTATGTGTGTCCCTATCTCTCTGTGTGTCTTTCTTTCTGTCTCTGACCCTCTCTACCTCTTTCTGTCTCTCACTCTGTGTCTCTCTCTGTTTCCCTCCCTCCCTCCACCAATCTCAATACAAATATTTTAATGGAGCAAGCCTCCATAGTGAAGATGCCCATGTAGCCAGGACTGAGGGCAGCCTTGATCAGCAGCAAGTTAAGGACTGAGGTCTCTCAAAGACCAAATTCTGTAGATGACCAGGTAGCCTCAGAAATGGATCTTTCCCGAGCTGAGACCTGAGAGCTGGCAGCAGCTCTAGACAAAGCTTGGATTACAACATTGTGAGACATCTAAGGCAGAGGACCTAAGCTCTACCCGGACTCCTGGAGCACAGGAACTGAGAGTAGCTGGGCTTTGTCTGAAGCACTACATGTTAGGCAGGGTATACTACTGAACATCTACAACTTCTGAGAGTTACAAGTTCGAGACCAACCTGGGCTGCATAGTGAGAACCTGTCTCAGAAAAATCAGCTCAGGGATAGAAAGTGCAAAGCCCTGGACTCAGTTCACACACACACACACACACACACACACACACACTAAAGTAATTTACTACACAAAGATGAGCAGTAAATAGAAGTTGTGTTCTCAGCACAGCATATGGCCTTTAATCATTCTTTGAATTTTTATTTTCCTCCTTTAAAAAAAGAGAGCGAGAAAGAAAAAGAAATACAACTCTCTCTAAAATATCTGATCCGGGTGAACTGGAATGATTTCTGATGGAAAGCAGTCTTGTCCAGAAAGGCTTTACCCGCCCTGCTTAGGAATGTGGCTGCTGCAGATATTAAAACAGACCTGCTGGCGTCTGCTCTGAGTGCTGAGCCCTGCCAGAAATGACCTCAGCCTGCACAGCAGGCTCTTACCTATGAAAAGCTGCCGCTCTGGGCTAGATCACAACAAAAGTCTCCTTCCCTAAATCCTTCTCCTTCTAGATACCTCAGGATACACCCGCTACACCAGTGCCTGAGGCGCAATATATCTCAAACCTAGAACTCAAAGTCAGGGGTGCAGAACCAGCAGGACTCTGAGAGGATGCCACGAGGCTTATTTTCTGTGACTTTGGTTGAAGGACATGGGCCTCATGGCTGACCTTCATTCTTCTTCCCTTTTCCCCCCTTGACAGTTCTGAGGGACTTTGTTCCTTCGTCAAGTGCAATGAGGGGCACCCTCCAGGAAAGGCCAGGACTCTTAAAGTGGAACCAAAGACTGGAAATCCTCATAACAAAGACTCCTCACCACGAATCCGAGCTTCCACCCTGGGCTTTGGGTCTCACCCTGCTTCACCCAGGTCCCATTGTCAAGTGTGAACACATCAAAGAAGACGTGGAGATTTCTCTGTTAGTGAATCTCCCAACTGGGTCTCTAACATATTCCAGCCTCCAAGCCCAACCTATCCCTTTACAGTTTCAACAACGGTAACAGCTGAGAGTTATCCACCTCACTCCTGGATGCAAAGCACTCCACCTTAGTTCTTTCTCCCTAGGATCCTACAGAACTTTTAGCCCCATTTAGTAAAAGAAAATATGGTAGCTCATGCTATACTCTCCCATGCTTGCCCTTTGTCCTTTTTTCTTCCATGTTGTCCTCTAGACAGATGAGCTAAGAAGCCTTATGTGGAGTGGACTGACAACTGTTCTCTAAGCCTGGAGACCTGGGTTTTAAGTTCTGGGCCTGCTACTAAAAATGTGTGATGACTTGGAGTGGTCAACTCCATTTGACTGGCCAAAGAGCAAGAACGGTCCAATCATATAGAGTAAGTGCCTTTCAGCAGGAAGTGATCAGCATGCAAATGAGAAGGGAAGTGAGAGGCAAGTGGGTACCGTGGATCTGAGAGTCACAGTGGTGGGAAAAGCCTGGGGCTGTGGGTCAGGAGACTGTGCCTAGGACCTGCTTTAGCCCTTGCTCACTGTGCTACTGTGGGAATCCGAGTTCCTCTGAGCTGTCGCTTTTCCCTTCATTGTAAGTGACAAAAGGGTTGAAGCTGATAAACTGGACAGCCTTTGAGTCACTTCTCGACCCGAAGCGGGATGCTTTGATTCAGTTTCCTCTTGGGAAAAGAGAGTTTTCCAACTCAAAGGGCAGTGCTTTTCCGTTGTGCAATCGATGCCGTTTGGAGCTTAAGCAGGAAGAGGCCAGGAGAACCCTGTGCCTCAACTTTCCCTAACCATGATCCTGGCTCCTTTCCCCGTCAGCAGCATGTCATTGAGACCTCTTTTCGGTAAGAAGGTGAGCTCCCAATGTCCTGTGTCCTTGACTGTCACCAGCCAGCGATTATTGCCCAAGTCAGTCACACTCCAGACAGACTGGCACTTGGCTGATCTCTTCCGGAAGTCTGGACGCCTGGGTTGAAGGTTAGTCACAATCCCCAGTGCCCAAGGGGACCCAGGGGAGGCCTGCAGCTGCTCTCAGCTGTCGACTGAACAATGCAGACCCTGTCAGGTCCCCAGCTGAGCCCTCTTTCAGGGTTGTTCGGATTGCAGTATTAACTGGAGGCCACTCAGCTGCTTCCTGTTCCTTGAGCCTCGGCACAGAGGCCTTAGCAAAGATGCTCAACTTGGGTCTTCATCTAACCAGAGCCCCCAGCAGCTGGGGAGACGAAAAGTTTCAGCATCATCTCATAACATAAATGTCTCCCATTGGAAAGGGCCCCAGGGACCAAGAGCCCAAGGCCTCTATTTTCACACATGTCGGCCAGACCCAGGGATAAAAGCAAAACTCAGTGTTCAGGAGCCTTGAGGCCGTACTTTTAGAGTCTCTTGGGTTATGACGGTAGTTTTCTTGCAAGTGTCCCCCACAGTCATACACTCGTGGAAAATATTTATGCTAGTGAATACCGTCTATTTCAGCAAGGCGCGTCCTGCCTGCCTGTGGAGCTCAGCTGTCCCCAAGCTTAAGGGTCATCTCCCATCTCCACATTAAACCCCAATCCTCCCAGTGGCTGGTCTAGTAATTATTATCAGCCTCTGCCCCAACCCCCACCTCTCATTAGTGTCCCTCCACCACATACCTGGGAGAACGACCCTCCAGTGTGTAAGTTACAGCTCCTCCTTTCCTTTGAACTGCGGGGGATTCTTTTTTTTCTTTGTTTTTGTTTTTGTTTGTTTGTTTGTTTTTTTAGGGGTTTCTCAAGACAGGGTTTCTCTGTAGCTTTAGAGCCTGTCCTGGAACTAGCTCTTGTAGACCAGGCTGGGCTCGAACTCACAGGCCTGTCTTTTTTGCCTCCTGAGTGCTGGGATTAAAGGCGTGCGCCACCACTGCCTGGCTCTGTGGGGGATTCTCGCTTCCTGATTATTGACTCTCAAGAAGTCCCATCTGGGAGCTAACCCTGTGGCTACAGTTGGAACCCAAGGTCAATTTAGGGATATGTAAGGGGAGCTGACTCCTATCACATGAACCATGTTTCCAAATGACCCAGGGGAGGAATATCCTGGTCCTTGCTGCCACCAAGTCCATTCTGATCTCGTCTTCTCTTGCAGGATTGGAGAATGGGCTGTATAATAAGGACCACAGCTAAGTGGCCCTCAGACCTGGAGACTCATGGAATGGAGTAGCCAGGTAAGGATGTGAAAGGTGAGCGAAGACTAGACATAATAAGTCCAGAGTCTAGCTCCGTTCTCCGCGGCCTCCAGAGCAGCTTAGTTTTCTGAATGCTTTTCTCAAGTCCTAATGAAAACAAGTTGGAGCCACGGCTGGGTCTGGAGCGGGGGCTGCAGAGTGGAGTTTATAGGCACTCGCATTTTCTTAACAGCTCCCTCTCACTCACACATTCTTCTACATTTTTCCCTTTTATTAATGTGGCATCCTTCCCAGGCCACTTTATGGGACCATGTGTGTTTCCACTTAGGCCTTGATTGAGTCTGATCGCATCTCTCTGCACGAAGAACCCTTAGATCTTGCCCACGGCCTTCCCACCTCACCCTGCAGGGTCTCATCATTTCAGTTGCTCCAGGGCTCTGGTGCTCATCTCTCAACTCCGTCCCAAGTACCCCATGGTTGTTTCTCGCTGTGCCTCTGCCTTAGGGTCATACCTCATCTGGACCCCGAAGAAGACAACCCAATTTGATGACTCACCCAAATCTGCAATGACTCCTGGAACCTTGCCCAATAATCAGATCTGCTCAGAGGATGAAAAGGGAGATTTGCTACAACGGAAGGCTTTCAAAGGAGTGTGCTTTGAGCCCTGAAGGCCATTGCCAAAGAGCAGCTCCGAGGGAGCGCAGCTTTCCAAGGGGCCCGCTCTCAAAGGCATGGCATGCATTTTTGGAAAGTCAAGCTTTGGCGTGCTTAATAAAAAAGATATTCACGGCGCCTGTAGCAACTCTACACGCTGAGCTTTTCTGTCCTCGGCAGCTCAGTTCCAGGAACTAGGACTGAATCTGCTGCTTCCTTGCTCCCTTTGAGCCCTGCTTCCCTTTACCCGCCCCTGATATCTGGAAGGTTGCTCTGTTTCACTCGGATACGAAGTGGCAGGCTTGGTGGCAGCCCTGTGATCTTTGAAATGTACCCTCTGGGAGCTGCATTTCCTTCCTCTGTAAACCCAGGAAAGAATTCCACGCTCCTCAGAGCGGCAACAAGTGAAGTTGTGTCTGTTTGGAGGCCTGGCTTCCTGAGGCCCTGGCAAGGTTTAGGAGATCACGACTCTAACTAATACTATAAAATTAGCCCATATCTACTGACACGTTTGTGAATTGCTTTTATTCTCTAATTGCCTACCCTGTTCCCTCTGACCTGCCCCAGAATGTCTGTGGGCGGCAGCCGATTCCCCATTCCCTGTTCCAAAGCGGGAGTCTCTGGGCCGCTTGGGAAGGGCAGGCCTGGCATCATTTTTCCCAGTAGGCTCTGGGAGAGGCATTAACGCCACAAGGCTTGATGTGGGATGTTTTTACAGGTATTGTTCATCTGGTGGGCAGATGGAGCTTTGCTGCAAGACACACTTCTGTCTTCCAGATGGAAAGTGCCTGGGAGACCCGAGCTGGGACTAGCCTGTCTCTTCTTGGAGCCAGTATGGGGGTATACATGACCTCCTTCTAAGCCCCTACTTAAGGCAACTTACAGTGGGCTATGCCTTTGACCCCTGGAACTTATGTCCAGTCAACTATTTGGTAATTTCCTTGTAACCTCCACCCTCTATCTTAAATAGTCTCTCTCTCTCTCTCTCTCTCTCTCTCTCTCTCTCTCTGCCAGGAAAAGAGCAATGCTAGTCACAGTAATAATCGTGCTGGCTGTTTACCCACTGGGTGTATGTATCCTTCATGACAGTGTATCTCAGGAAGCAGCATCATGACACAGAGGGTATTTTTCCTGAAGGAAACAGACTTAAGAAGCGTTGCTCGTGCCTGCCTTGTCCCCCTTGGTAACACATGCCATTGGATAGCATCAACTCCCAGTTCTCTACCCCAGAGCTCAGGTCGCTGCCTAAGCAAAGCAGGAACATCCCTTGCCTCACATTAGGAATGAGCCTTTCTTGAGTTGAGTTTCTGTGGAGTCCCATGCTAAAGTGCTTTCTACCACATCACTTCTGGTCAAAGCGCTTCCGGTCACAAGGTGCAGAAGCCTGTTCCCAAAAGTTCATATGGAACGTGATCGTTGTAACAATGAAGTAATTTTAAACAAAGGAAGTATCAGGTTTCAGTGTGGCTTTAAATTATGTCCTTATTGTCGTGGAAGTTTCGTTTAGCTCCCTACATGCCAATGACTATAAGATTTATGTTTTTATTACTTCAATTTTTTTGAGACAGGGTTTCTCTATGTTATAGCTCTGACTGTCTGGGAACTCACTTTGTAGACCAGGATGGCCTCTAACTCACAGAGATTCACCTGCTTCTGCCTCCTGAGTATTGGAATTAGAGGCATGTGCCACCACCGCCTGACTTTAAATTCTTAAGAGAGAAAAAACGAAATAATATTTTTTTTCTGGCCAGCATACTGGCTGGTCTTGAGTATCACTCCTAGTTGAAATATCTGGGGTTCAGGGTTGGAACACATGGTAAAAGCATGTTTAAGGGGTGAGAGGGATGGCTCAGTAGGTAAAGACCCTTACTCTTGTTAAATCTCACAACTTGACGCTGATCTTCAGAACCCAAATGGTAGAAGGAGTGAACCAACTCCCACAAGCTGTCCTCCGACCTCCACACAGACATGTGACAAACATGCATGTATATACATGCTAAATAAATAAATACATGTGAAAACTTGTTTAAGGGCCTGGAGAGCTAGCTCGGTAGTTAAAAGCACTGGCTGGTCTTCCAAAGGACCCAGGTTTACTTCTCATCACCTACATGGTGGCTCACAACCATCTGTAATTCCTATTCTAGAGTATCTAACACCCTCTTCTGCTTTCCAAGGATACCAGGAATACAAGTGGTACATAGATATACAAGCAGGCAAAACACCCATACTCATAAAAGAAAATGAAAACAAAAATAAGAAGGTATAGCCGGGCGGTGGTGGTGGCACACGCCTTTAATCCCAGCACTCGGGAGGCAGAGGCAGGCGGATCTCTGTGAGTTTGAAGCCAGACTGGTCTATAGAGTTAGTTTCAGGATAGTCAGGGTTACACAGAGAAACCCTGTCTTGAAAAACCACAAAAAAAAAATAAAGAAAATAAAATAAGAAGATATTAAAAACCAAAACATGTTTAAGATAGATAGAGGAGGCTGCCTGGAGAGTGGTACACAGGTGTAACCTCAGCACTTGGGAAGTGGATGCAGAAGGATCAGGAAATGAAAGACACAGTGAGTTTGAAGTCAGTGTAGCTTCCGTGAGACCTCATCTCAAAAATACCCAAACCCAAACCATACAAACAAAGCAGATAACAAAGCCTGAAAGGGAGAATGATCTATGCTCTGAGTAGCAGCCTGAGTGGTACCCTCCCAGCAGTGTGTCTGGTGTACCCCCTTACAGTTCGGGGTTCAACCAAACAGAACGCTGACATCCACCCCGAGTGACTGACCCATCTCAATGCACACCAGGCCAGAGCCCGGATGCTGGTAATGCACAGTTCTACTGAAGCAGCTGCCCTGTCACTGCCACTGAAGGAAATGGTGATGTTTCTCTAAAGAGCACTTCCCGAGATGTCCGGTGAAAAGAGCACGGAGTTGGAGCTTAGCTTCTGATCTAGCTGGCCTTAACCCACAGAACTGCCTGGCCTTTGCTTTCTTCCTCGAACTCTCAGACTTGCATAATATATAAATAATAAGGCTATTGTGAAAATTAATAGGCTGTTTGTCCTTTCCCACCTGATTCACACCCCCACGACATCCCAGAAACACATTAGATCGGGGATGTTTGCCCCATGTATTTGTTGGGTCTCGGCCAGCTACCTCTCTCCTGTGATAGCCCACCCAGCCCCACTGAAGGGGGAAGAAAGGCAGGGTCTTTCTGGGGATGAGGATGGATCTAAACGCATGCTCTCCAGCCCCACCAGTGAGGGACGGCTGGGTCAAGCACTCCTCTAACAGGAAGGTGTCCAGGTGGACTGGGAAGAACAATGGGAACGCGAAGCAAAGCCTTGGCAGGTGAGGATAGTCTGTGGAGCTAGGAAGAGATGGTGGAAAATGGTATGGGTTCCCAGGGGAGGTGGCAGGAGGAGAGGAAACGGTTTGTGCCACTTGGCATGAAATGAATAACATTGAAGGACTGTGCAAAATGCCATGCTAATCGGCACCTGTTCCTTCTGGAACCAGCCCCTGGAGGCCATGGCATCTGAGGTCGAAGCTGGTTTTAGGGCTTGCCAAGAAAGGAAGTACAATGCATTAAGATCCACTCTAGTGTTGAAAGATGCACCGGTGCTAAGTGGGATGCCGAGGAGGAAGGTGACCCCAGCCTCCTTTGCCCTTTCCTAGCCTCGGATGCTCTGTCCCGCATTCCCAGTCCACTCTCAGGCAGATGGCTGAGAATTCTGCAGGGGCCTCTGAGTACACCCTTGGCTACTAGCCACATTCCGGAGCAGCATATGTTTCATCTCAAGCCCACAAGGTTTGTACTTCCAAGTGGAGCCAGAAAGAAAACCTTGGCCCAGGCTGCAAATTTCTCCAGAGAGGTGGGGGTCAGGGAGGCCCTCCGGGAGGTTGGAGCTCTTTTGTTGGGGATATTTGCGTTTATGTGAAGCAAAGTCTCAAATCAGTGATATCCTGATTTCCTGATGCATACATCCTCAAGTCCTCAAAGAACCTACGTGAATGCTCTTATCCAAATGTCCCCACATGCCTGTAGCCCCTTGGTACCAGTTCCTCCCTTGGCCTGAATTTCTGACCGGTACAAAATCAACAACACACAGCCCAAGGGTGATGGGGAGGGGGCATAAGCGGGTCCCTGGAACTCATCTGCACGTGCTCTAGGCTCGCTGACCCTCAGGAATGCACGTCTCCTGCCCAGTACCAAGTCTTCATGGACCAGAGGGGAAAGGAAGGGAGAGTAAAGGGAAGAAAAGGGAAGACCAGAAAAGAACCAGTGGCGGAGGGACTGAGGAGAGCCTGGGCTGGAAGAGTGGGTCCCTTCTGGTGGGTGGTGATGCAAAGCAGGGATGGTGGGAGCCCTCAGCCTCTGGGGTTCTGCTCTGTGGCAAGCTCAGGGATTTCTGACAGCAAAGTAAACTGTGGTGTGCTGAGTTTACCCAGCTCCAATAAGCAGCGTTTGGAGTGTTTAATGTTTCCTTCTCACTGAATTGGCTGACAGGCCCTGAGATGCCGTTGGCCCCTTTCTGTATTTTGGGAAAGAAAGGGATGGAACAGGAGGTAGAGAGCCATCGGGAAAGTCAGCATCGCTGAGCCCAGTTCGGATGCAAGCTGGAAAGATCTAGCTCTCCTAGCCCGGAAGTCCATGAAAATGAGAGAGCCTGAAAGGCAAGCTGGTGCCCTCACCGCACTCGTCCAGGTTGGGCCTGGGTACCCACAGTCGCTCTGACCCTGTGCAGAGCACAGCCCAGCACACGGACCCTTCTCCTTGTGTTCTGTATGAAAGTCTGTCTCCAGGCAGCATAGTTCTGTGGATTGAGCAGGGGATGGTCAGACCACAAAACAAATCAGGAAGACCCCAGAGCTCAGCACGAAATCACAAAATAAACTCAGTCTGGCAGGACGCCCAGTCCAATGTACTGGTGGGTTCTGCACTAAGTTAGGGTGAATGTGTTGAGTGTTGGGGAGAATAGAAACTCTGCTGCTCTCCAGGAAGACTCCTGGAAAGAAACGGTTGCTTTTTGGTGGCACAGAGGATGAAACTGAGATGGAAGGGCCATCCAGTGAAGACAGGGAGAAAGAGAGAGGACCTCGGAGGAGTGGGTACTGTTCGGACCGTAAGGATGGAAAAAAGCAGCAGAGCACAGCGTATGAGGAGAGGAAGGAGGAAGAGGAGGATTTGAGGATGATGAGGATGGGCCGGATGAGTGAGGAAGGGCGTGGCAGAGGCTGTATCTCTGGGCAACTGTTACCCATTCCCATTGCAAGTATGCAAAAACAGAGAATACTCTAGAACCATAGTATGAGAGCAAGTTACCCTGAGGTGAGGAAGAGAAGCGGTGGCAATGACAACCAGGCAGCAGTCAGGCCAATGACCAGAAGGTGGGGTCCCTATGAAGGGCTTGGCACAAAGAGGAAAGGGTAAGAAGACAATATGGCCAAGATGTTCCTCTCA